TCCGATGAGCTTTCTAGCTTTGGATAATTGAGATATAATGTGTTCAGAAAAGTTCAGACTGTTGCTATATCTTAAACCCAGGTCACGAACAGTGTTGAGAGGTTTGAGTGTATGTGTCTGTACAGTCAGATTTAAGTTAAGACAGCAACCAATGTGAATAAATCCACTTTTGTCAACATTAAGTTGCATATTCCACGAAATAGTCCATTCGTACAACTTGTTTATTTCCTCTTGGATTACCGTTGAAATATAGCTTTCTTTGGTGGGAGAAAAAAATGAATAAACTACTTTCAGGTCATCAGCAAAAAGGAAAGGCTTACCATACTGAAAGAGGGAACACATTTCATTGGTGAAAAGGAGAAAGAGTAATGGACCAACCACACATGCTTGTAAGAACTAAACAAGGTGGTTGTATGCTGTAGAAGGTACTGATTTCGTTTTAATATTAACAGAAGCTGGAATAGTAATGAATATAGCAACATAGTTTTCTGTCATTTAGAATAGGGTTCGAGTTGGATTACGTGAGACCATACATCACTCACTTTATGTATTAGGAGAAATTTTATCAGTGAAGTCGAATCCTAGCGTTTCTGTAAAATATACTCGGCCCACTTGATGTGTAAAATAATCCTATGAAAATTTAATATAATAAGGTAGACGCATTAATCTCTGAAGAAACCTTTTAGGGAAGATAAACTGACTTATACGTTGCTCATAAACTATCTAATCAATCACAGCACCTAACATAGATTACTGGTTAAAAGTAGGCTACGTATATAAGAATATACTTCACAGGCAAATGAAACGAGTGTTTGACAAAATGTACGTCATATTTAACGGAACGTACCCCAATACTTTTTGCCAGCTGGTATGTTTGTTATTTTTTTCATAAAAATTATTAGTATAAATGACAAAATTCAAATCGCAACACACTGTTTGCCCTAGCACTCGGTGATTTCGCACCCTAATATATCACAGCCTTGAGTATTTGGGCAACTAGAGGCTTAATGCTAACTTCAATTATTCCGGCCTACCAGGTTTGACTGAATTTTGAGACGTTCACAAACATCAAAACACGATACATTACAATCTTATGTCTGGGCCCTTGCGCCCGATGTCCCTCCAAATGTCGTAGATATCAGTATCAACTTTGCCCCACACAAATCTATAAGGCAATCGCCTTGTCAATTTGATGAGAATGACCTAAATGCAAAACCCTCGCATCCGTAAACGTTGAACCCACTGTCGTAATACGGCATTAAAATTGCTTATCCAGAACATCACTCTAATTTAATGTTTACCTCGTACTTCTAATGTAAATACTTTTTGCAATAAATCCCGTTATAGAAGCTACTTGGAGATCAGTAACTAAACACCAAACTACTCGTAAATTTGGTCTGTCTAATACAATGTATATCACCTGCAATATTTACAACCAAAAGTTTAGCCTTATGACGCAGCATCTATGCAACGCACGATCTTGTATGCTGGACAATTCAGCCTTAATTGTACAATCTACTATATATGCACCAGTTTTTCCCCTAGCTCCAGAGGGAAAAACGTTAATTATAACACGTCAAAGAAAGTGTTCAAAAGGGCTCATCTTAGTAAAATACGTAGCATTCGTAAAAATCTGATCTAGCCGGATAATTGGCAAGTCTAATGTAACGTATGTTTATAGAGAATAAATTAACATTAATATTATAACCTAAACAATTATAACCAACCAGTTATTCTACCCACACTTTCTCAATCAGTAGCCAAATTTAAATTACAGTAAACTGATAAAAGATATAGGTGAATTACCAAGCGAGTTAAATAAATATTTTTATCAACACAAGAATAATATCTCATCCTTTTCGGATAGATTACGTAAAGGTCGGCAGGAAATTGATACATAACTTCGTTACAACATGGAGCGTTCCAGTTTTTGAATATTACTTTTATCCACAATTATAAAGGGGAGTTATTGAACATGGCAGCCACCATAACCAACTATCAACTAAAAAACGCAAATATGGTTGTTAAGTTTGTCTTAGATTTTTCCTGCATGTTCCTTTTCTACTCTTCGTATGTTGTTTTATACTACTTATTTACATTCAGTAGGCAGCTGTATGCCCAACAATTTTCACAATCATGTTGTAACTCAAGTTGTACTGTAACATTCTGGAATGTTCACCTATATCTTTAACGTTTATTTTACTTATAATTGTATTTATCATTATAATCACTGTAATTTAATTACTGTAACAATTATCCACAGTTTTGTGCATTTGTTTGAATGCAACAGTTTCCATAGTGTTTGCTCTTGGTTCGAGTTTCGGTTGTTCATAAACTGTTACCAAATTAAGACACAGCTATCGGCTGTCTTTGGACTATCGTATGTTGTAATCATTCTTTATGTTACTCTTAAAGGAAGCCTTTGCTATTTTCATTCTTGAACGACGCGTTTAAACGCCTAGACACCTCACACGTTGAGGTTTGTAATTAAATCTTGTGTATTATTTAATAAAGAACCGCTTTTGTAGACAAATCGTTGTTTTGGAACTTCAATTTTGCGCGTATCTCAATCGGGGTTACTTGGACGCTTCGATAGAATTAACAATGGTTTTGAAAGTACGTCTGAAAAACAAAAGCCACGGTAAAATACAATAGTACGACCTCAAATGGAATTGAAAGATCGAAGAACTGTTTATCTGAAGCAATCAGAAAGCATAAATCACGACAGCGTGGGCGTGAGAGGATTTTTATACACAAAACTTTCAAACAGGACCTATCACATTACTAGCCACTTTAAGTCTGTGATATGCACTATCGTATTATCCGAGATAACAGAATCATGCTAGCTTTGCTTAAATGCAGGGGGAATCTGCACCTCCCTATAAATTTTAAAACTAAAAGGAACGAGATAATCCCGATGATCATAAACCTATCATACCGGCGTTTGACCATATGCTACTAGCTGCAGACTTCAACACTTCGTGGTGTCGGCAAGCAGGATATAACTCCTGCAGACTGGTTACAGAGGCAGCTTGTGACAGCCGTCAGGAGTTCGGCACTGGACGAACATATGGTTGGTGTTACAAGGTGTGGTCAGGAAATAGAACGCTCAAACTTAAGATATACAGACAAATTATAAGCTTCTGACTGAGGATATCGATGTCTACGTACTAATTAAAATTAGTGATCACGTGACGGATACTTTAAAGGGATGCTGAAGCTTCGCACGCTTGATATAACAAGAGGGACGACCTGACCCTGAAGAGGCACCTATAGTCCTAAAATAGTGGGCGAAACCCGTCAGCATACCGCTATTAGACCTGTTCAGGTATTCACCATAGTCACGTCAATTCTCAAGAGAATGAACACACACCACTTCCTCATTTTGATCTTTAAAGTAAAAGAGAGGAGTGACCTAGCCTGCTACAGTCCAGTCGAATCACCCCCTATGCTATAGAAAGTTATGGAAAGGCTGGTCAGTGAGCAACACAAGTTGAGGAAAAGCAGATATTGACCTTCTGGTCTTCTCACATCACGAACCAGTTAGGACAAAGAGATTCCGGTCCATGTAACGTTCCTTGGCTTTGCATAATAGTTTGACACAGTACTGTGTGTACCCCTGATAGCGAGTGTTGAGAAAATTGATTTTACTGACCCACCTTTATCGTCACTCCGAAACCACAGAGAGTACAGGATGTTTCGTACCAAGGTAAACAGAGTGAACACCAGCCAAAGAGTCGCGACATCGGGAGTCTCTCAGACGTCCTCTCCTTTTTTTTGATGTTTGTGAATGACTTGTTAGATAAAATTAGTTCGATGGCACTGATCTGGGTGACTGTGCAAAAATTTGGAAGCCTACGAAAAGTTAAAATGATTCACTTGAGCTTCAACTGGACCTTACAACGATAGAGCAATGGACAGTGGACAGCGGGTTAAGACAACCTGTCAAAATATTTCGTCGTGAACATTCCGGCTTATTTGACATAAAGGAGCTACACCCTCAACGGATATCTGCTCCCAATCGTCGTCTCAGAGGTTGATCTCAAACTTGTAACCACAGGGAGCTTGAAAATCTTGTAAAACTACATGCAGGATACAGCAAAGTCGAATGGAACTCTTCAGTTTGTGTGAAGACAATTTGGCAAAATTACTCCAGAATTTTTCCTGACTTTTTGAAACACACTCACGGCCCTTTTCGAATTCCGCAATGTTGTTGCCTTCCCTTTCATCATAAGACATAAATCTCTTAGATCGAGTACATAAACGAGTAATTAAGTGGTTGATGAGGTCAAGGTTGGACTATCAAAGGACAAGAGGTAATCTGATAGTAGCATACAGAGTACTAAGTATACCAAATCACTCCAACACAAAACTTGTCAGAACATCACTGTTATGCTCTTTGAGGCAACCTTCAAAAGATTGGACATCAGAGAGCGAAGATCTAGGTACGCTTCCACTTTTTTTTTAAGCGTTGTCCTCATTTGGAATGCTCTTCTAGTTGAAGTGACAACAGTCCCATCAGTAGATAGCTTCAAGAAATGAATTGACAAACATGTGCTAACATACTGGGTACCATTCTCCTCTTCAACCAGCTGCCTAGTAATGAGACAGCTGATCGCATCCAGAAATTGTGCTGCTGTGGCACGAATGCATTCCAATTACAAGACATACAAATCTACAGATAACTACCAATCTGACCACAATTTACCCATTTAAGTGGCCAGACCACTACTTAATGAACATTACCAAATACCTGGGGCCGTACTGAGACAATAACAAGCGAGCGCAAAGAAATCAATCAAGTTATAAGTTTTGGCAAAGATATTTTATGTTGGTGGTACAACTGGTCTCAACAGTGAACACCTTCCAAAGGAAACTACAGAACTAGATAAATACTTACTGCAAAGATTAACATAGATCCGACGACCTAATAACCCTAGTTCTGAATGCTGTTATGGGTATGCGATTACATGAGGAATCAAACATGGAAGCGGCACATTAGTTATATGCGCTACAGTTTAAACAATGGGAACTGAGCGAGTTGAGGCGGTAACTGAGTTACTTACTGGGCATACTATAGATGAGCTACACCGTATAGTCCGTCAAAAAAGGTAGTTTCTTTCACCCGAATTTCCTACTTTTTAGAGCTGAAGTGGAACATAAAAAAGATGAGTTACGTCACCTTGTGGGTGAAAGACATCGAGATATTATTGATGCTTCTGATCGAATACTACTAATGAAAAACCTTACCTATGAAGTGAGGACTTTGCGTGCCCAATAAACATTAGGTTTCCATATTATTAGACCAGCTGAGGTCATACTTGACAACTTGGAGTCGAGATATGGAAACAAAAAAAGAGTAAGTTATCCGTTTGTTAATCGTAGTCCTTCCGTTGAAACACAATCGCTCGAATTATCAACGGCTTCTCAATTGAAGTTGATGCTTGACATACCGGAATTGGTAGGTTTCGTACAATAAGTTATATTGAAAGATTTGGAATTATATGGATTTGGGACGACACTCTTCATCTGCAAGAATGCTCTTTCTTGGCAGACATCTAAACGCTAGGTTAAATTTTAGCCATGAGCGGCAGTTGTCTTATGTAAACGCAAGTGTTCTTGTCAGTCGGGCATGGGACTCTTTGGTCCATATGGAAGCAGCTGTAATTTCAGCATGCCGCAAACGATTATCTGCTCCTCCATCAACTAAAGAAGTGCTTAAATGTATAAAAGTTTACGTTTTCAGGAATTATGTGATTCTCTTGCTGCTTTGTCAATGGTTGGTGACCTTTCTACCATACAGGTGCTCGAAGAATTTTTTAATGGCAGAAAGGTGAGTTTCTCCATAATAGTAGCAAATAACCACTGCACCACGAAAATGTAATATAACAATATTTTTATTACTGGTAGTTACCTGTTTAAAGCCTGTGGTATTTTACTGACCCCTCATATTGATGGAGAGATTCGAACAAGTGCATTGTTTTATGTTGGTGTAATATTTTTATGGAAGTTCAATAACAGATGTGCCACACACATATTTTGTTAGCCATTTTTCAATCATTCACTCTGTATAAGGGCTACTTATATTACCCGAATCTCCAAAACCAAATAAAAAAAGTCGAAATATATGTGGTGTTAATTATGTAAGATATCCTGGTAATATATTTGGTCCCAGTCCAACACGAAATGTCATTTTTACTAAACCTCCATTAGGGTTTCAGAATCAAATCTCGAGCATGATTTTCTTATTCAAACAGAGTTTCAGGGTAATGATTTGATTGATTGAAATCCGAAAGTGACTTGAACTTGTTCGCAGATGAAAACCGTTTTCACATTGCTTTAATATCCGATGCTTGTTTACTTCAGCTGTTCGTCTTGTAACTTATTGGCTTCTGGATTGTTATTCCTATTTTTAGTTTCACACTTCTGTTTGTACATCTAACGTTGCTCCACTGCCTTGTGGGTCAGGCCTTTGGGTCGAAGGCTCCGAGTGTGGCCTCTAAGATAACTGCCTGATTCGGTCTGGGCACCCGGGCGGTATCGCAGCCCACACACAAATCAAGTGACTTGTGTGGCGCATATGTATTCGGTGCCCCTTTGTATCATTATTTATGTGTTCAAATAAATAAATAATAAAACTTCTCCCTGTGTAATTATTTACACTCTTGATTTAATCGTGATCTCCATACTGCCGTATATTGTGGAAACACGTGCTAGTACACGCATGTGCCACTTAGTACGTTGTTTTTGATTGACTAACTGGTTTGTTGTTTACTTGGCGTTTCATTAAGTTAATTTCATAGTTTAGTTTAGGAAGTCATTCCACCGTCACCATTATTGTCAAGTCAGCCAGTGTTGTAACCGTGTTATGTTTAAGCCTGATAATAATAACCCCTTTCAAGCTGTATGTAGTAACGTTCATATTTCCTAATGGCTTCCCATATTTTAAAGGTTGATTAGGAAGCGAAATCATACTTCTGGTGTCGGTGTTTAACAGTAGTGAGGTGTTCTTCAAGGATGAGTTGATATTGGTCAGTCTCGAAGATAGTACCTCTTTCGACCCACAGAATTTTGGTTACAATGGTAAGATTTTCAAGATACAAATTAATCAGAATAGGCGTTTCCAAAACTACTTGTCTACCATAAGCAAATATCCCCTAGACTGCATTTTCATGTTGTGTAGAACATAAAAGCATTACTATAAATTGATTCCCGTTTTCATGTCATGCAAAGGGATATAATACTCCCTAACTCATATAGCCTGATAGTATTATTTGCTACTCATCTTCAAGAGCACTATAGTTTACAGGTTACTCTTTCAAGTGGATTGATTCTCTCTATGTATGTAACTTTGGTCAAGTCGCACACAAAATGCAATTTCTCTCTACGAAGACGGCATTTAAATCTTTACCTACACAATTATCCCACCGTTTTCTTATTATATACCTTGTTATGTACACATTCCGAAACGTGCTTTAATAATTGTTTTATACGATTTCCTAATAGAATAGTTATGAGACAAAACTAAGTTTTTAGAATGTCTTAGATTACTTTGTTCTAAAATATTTATAGGATGCCTTATTATGTCTTCTTAAATGTTACTTTTTTACTGTTTTGTTCAAGGTTGGATTATATTGCCTTCTTGGTAGAGATTATTCACCACACGATGGGATAATAAGACTAAGACCTAATTTTATCCTATCAATTCGCAAACAGCTTTTACTGGTCGTTAGACATATTTTGTCAACTTTGGAGTATCTTGAGTTCCTATTTTTGTCGAATACTAGCGGTGAAGGATCTACCTGTAAAGGAGCTCTCGATTCCCGGATTAAATGGTTTGTGGATTGGACATTCCAAGGTATTGCTTTCTTGTGGAACGTTATAAATTAAAACTTGCAGTTAGTGTCTCATGTTGTCTACTTTGCTCAACCTTGTTTTAAATGATAAAAATTTGGATGTTTTGTGTTACATTAAGGCTTAATATAGTGAGAATGAAACTGTTGAAAATAACCAACTGACTGTTTCTGCAAGTCAACGGTTCTTCCCTTTATCATTCAGGATTTCGAGGTTATCACGAAAATGGTCTCATTTTTAGGAAATGTACTAAAATTAGTGGTAATTATTTTCATACAGTATATACCTTTAGCAACGTAATCAGGGAGATTACAAACTCCGCTAGTTCTGATTAGTGGGCTTTAAATCTAAGTAACAGACAGTATTTAAGCTTCTAAGCTTTGTCTTGAGCCAATTTCTCATGCTTAACTTTGTAGGTCGTGCTTTGTTTCATCGAAAGTATCACAATGTATTACTAAAGGTTGTTACATTAATCATAATTAGTGCAATAAATAGAGTGTATTACGGCCGTTGTTCATAATAATATAGGCCGGTTAATTCTAGTGCATTGAGAATGTTAGATCCGGTCATAGTTTTCGTTATGGCAAATGTATGGATGTCCAAGGTGAGTCAATAAATTTGATCCTACTCGTTTTCAGCGTCAAACTTATTTAACCTCAGTCAGTATTGACAAACTTCTCTACAAATTGTAATGCCTTTGTAAGTTTCTCTATTTCAACATCACAAGACTTTTTATTATTTTAGATTCACCCATCTTCTCCAGAGATCGTCTTTATACACATTTACCGAGCGATGTACTGGATTTCAAACTAAAGGATTTTAGATTTTCAGACGAGTTTTCTAATTTTAAGAAAGATGAACAATATAACTTGCTGATAGACTTACTACGTAAACTTTGGGATGCTTGGCGAGATGAGTGAGTTTATTTTGAACTCGTTAACTTTAGCAACTTTATGACCATTGCTAAACAACTCGTAGGTTAACTACTGAAACAAAGCTAAACCATTGGTACTGAATTTTCCAAATTTAGAATAAGGTTGGCCAGTCAGTTACAGGTAGTGAACGATCTAACAAAAATGTTCTTTCCCTTTCCTACACCACAGCACAATGAAATGACGTTTACATTTGATTTTTTATAGATGTCTAAGTAACTCAACAGAACATGTTTTAATTACTCTTTACGACAAGACTGGTTAGAAGAAACAATGCATTTATCACTTTCGAAACCTAAAAGTAGTGGACTTGAAGTTTTTATGTTGTAGAAAATCGTTACCAACTATTCGAGTATCAGAGAAATTATTTATTTATTTATTTGAACATAAATATTGGTACAAAGAGGCACCAGATACATATGCACCACACAATAGCAATAAGAATATGAAGTGATAAAAAATGTAAGGTGCTTATAAGAAAAAGGGGAACAATAACGAACAGAAATTAGTATATGATAGTGAAATAATAATAGTGGTAGAGGCGGTCCAGTTAGCAAATCTACAAACAGAAAGAATTCTTCCAGTTAAAGAAGTTACGTCCATTTTATGAAGAAAGTAAAATAAAGTTACAGCAGGCTCGCCACTGGCTTCTGTTCTGAGCCATATCTGATAACGTCTAGAGGTTGGGTATTTGTGCACGAGTCCGAAGGTCCTGGGTTTGAGTTCCCTTTGCCAACAACACCCTCGAATGCTCTGGTACGGCCAAGGGTGGGGAGAGTTCACTCTCGAAATGCTCCCATATGACCACGTGCATAGCCACTGCCATGGAAGTCCTGTTCATTGCTTTCTTGCGGCGGGGGTGTTGTTTACGAAATTGAGAGGACAAAAAGCGAATGCCCGGCGCTTTAACCGGGTTTGTGGACATGGAGGGTTCACCTAAGGAAGCTGGAAAACCCTGATTCCAAACCAATAGTGTATATAGGCTCCAGTATCCTGAAAGAACAAATGGCATATGAACCAATCGTTGGTCACCGACTACCATGGTACTGCATCTCCTGATGTTGTTCCACTGCCTTGTGTATTAGACATTTAAGTCAAAGTCTCCGAGTGTGGCCTCCTAAGGAAACCTCCTGCTTTGGTTTGGGCACCCAGGAAGTATCACAGCCCACACACAAATAAAATGAAACAACGATAATGACTGAGAACACTGTTCTCGCCTCAATTAAAATCAGAGAAATTTAGCATAAAATTGTGGTAAACTTTAGCAAAGTAAAATCGAGGAAGCAAGGGAGTATAATTTGAAATCTAATGTTATCAGATTGGTTACTATTCTGTATTTTGTTAAGGATGTGGTATCCCTTAGTTTCAGTTGCATGAGAATGAACACAGGAAATTTACTTTTGCAGATATTGATAGACATATGTTTTTGATTTTCTCAACCGGACTAAAAAATTTGCGAAGATAAAAAATCCGATGCTGTTGATTACTATTTAGCCAAATTTTTAAGTGTGTATTTCATAGTATTAGCTTCCACTAGTATTATCTTTGAATATATCGCTACACAGGAAAATCACGAAAAAGTAGTAATTCAATCAAACGAAAGGAATGACCATGTTTTTTACTCAAAATAGTTGGCTTAGCTCATTAATCTGTAATGTGGTTTACCGTCATGAGATATCGAAATGTTGTATATTTAACCTCATATTTTGTCGTATCATTACAACTCACTTTTAGTGAACTGGTAACACCCCACAATTATTTGGATTTTTAATTACTAGTGTTAACTTTGTTTCGATTAAAAAGCACCTAGTTAAAAGGTCTCAGGTTTTGACCCGGCTAACGTAAGCATCGCAAAGTAACAAACGCACTAAGTAATTCTGATGTGAACTGTGCAGTTCACTGTCAATTCTTAAGTTATCTATCTTATTTCAAATAAATTTTCAATCGACATCTAGAGGGAGAGCAATGAATATCAATAATAATGAGAAATATAAAGAAATAACATGGTTTTCATCGCAGTGGTATCTAACCACATTTATTAAATTTGTGATTTGATTACTTACTAATAGCTCTATTCAAATATGCCGAGAAGTTCTGTCAGAATCATTAAATCATGTGTCTAGTTTTGAAACACTGGTTGATCTCCGTACAACTGCACTAGTTCTTGTGCGACGACTACAAACCTTCAGTTTTAAAAATGGTGCAAAGAATTGTGATACAAGACCAATCAAATTTGATATTTGGATAGAATTACTGCGTGGTTTATTCCTACAAAGATTAGAGGTAGTTCTGTTAAATTTTATCTAGTCTTGATTAGATTTTCAAGTTAAACGATCATGGTAAAATTGGGTACAGTTCATGTTTTTGTTTTGTTTTTACTAGTTAGTATTTAAACGTGTTCGATGTGATGTTCTGTGCAAGATAGTTGTAGGGAGCACTTTCCTACAGGTTTATTTCTAAGCTATTCTCTAGAGCGTCGAATACAGAGTCTTGGTTTGGCCAAAGTCAGAACAAGTAAGCTATTTGGCTATATAAACTTTATCTTATTCTAAAACACAAATTAACATCGTTAGTGTGCAAACGAACAGTACAGTCTATTAATACATCGAGAAAGAGACAATAACATACCGAACAGTAGCCAGAGAATAGGAAAAATGAGTCAACAAGCAAATATTGTTTTACAATGAACATTAAACTGTGATTGGTTAATAAAGAGATACAGTCGTACAAGATCAAAGGAAGTTAATGTGGTGGTGGGCGTTTCCCTTTATTACTGGTGGGTTCGTTTATCGATCACATTTTACAATAGTTTTGAATGATAATCATCTTAATTCCTAGATTGACACTGTTGTCATTATGGCATCTTTAAATCCGTAATGTTAATGGCGTCTAGTTTGAAATTAAGATTTGTCATCTGAAACTAAATTTATGGGAATATATTGTGACGGGCGGTGTCCGAAATCCGATACTGATACACTCTGTGTTACACGCTAACACCCCCCTCGACTGACTATTTGAACGAGAATTTAAGAGTAATCGGAAAAGCATATTGGGTTGCCGGATAAAATGGACAAATACTCATACATATGTATACCACTCTAATCCTTAGAAAATTGTTCCGTTTCTCAGCCAATAAAATTCACTTAACCTTCATGTCAATTTTGATTGCCATCGACAGACCTCATTGAGCTACTTCTGATGGGCTCATTATATCAATATTTATCCCATATCTATATCCTTGACTGTAAATATTTACACTAATGAGTCATTTCATAAGCAATGCAACAGTGTCATAAGTGATGACGTTACTCACAAACAGCTTGAGTAACAATTACTTTGGTTACTTTCGGTTATCCCACATTGGAATAGGTATCTGCCCAAATGTCTGTGTAAGAATATAATCATTGAATTAATATCTCTATTTATTTATGTTCTTTGTAATCAGTCGTATTTATTCTCATCACCTTAAATTTGTAAAAACTTTACTCTTGTAAAATCAAAGTTAGCATTTTTATACTTAAGTTCGCTTTTGATTTAATACTTCATTCGTAAAATAAACTTACATAATTATTTACCCACTCTAAAAATCTTATTGATGTTTTATACAGGTGCTATTCACGAAGAGTTTTGAGAGCAGTTTCAATGAATGGATTGACCAATTCGATCAAATTTTAGTCCGTGATTCGAAATTAAAGAGTGAGGATAACTTGTCGAAAATACTATCATCTAAAAAAGTGAGTTTGTTTACCAGTAATTGCGTCATACAAACTACATATGTAACATGGTGCTGAAGCCTAACTGGAACTTAGAAATGTACAAAGATAGTACAATATATTTCTTCATGATTGTGACATTTGTACCATGCTTAATATGGTAAAGTACTAGTTAACGAAGCAAATAGGTAGCAGTATTCATCATATTTAGGTAATGTCATTTACTAGATGCTTATTTTACAAGAAGTGACTAATTAAATTATAAAAATGTACGTAACGTTTCCGATTATTTTTTAAATGATCGCATCCATGAAGATTGACAGAAATTTACCCAAACTGGATTTCTGTTTATTTTATAGTCCTAACCAATCTAGCCGCAAAAATCTCAATAATAATTTTTTCGATGAAAATCTAGTTCGATTCTCTAATTCAGTGATAAACGTTTCTTATTGGCGAGATACTTATTTACAACTGATGTGAGGTCAGGATGTTTAACGTTCTTCGGTATGGTCATCCATGTAGTATTCCAGGCCTCACAGAAAGTTGGCAATGGCTATAACTAAAAAAACGTATACTAGCTTCTATCCTCATTCTCAAATCATATTCACGAAATTCGTTCCGTTCCAACAGAAAGTCCCCTAGTAGCAATAAAACCACTTCATGTTCTTCAACATTTATCGAAAATTTATGTCGACTGAATAAGATAATAAAGCATATTATAAGACTGTCTCAATGCACACCGCTTTCTGCATCTTCGCGGCAGGACGGCTGTTAGTGGTAGTGGGTGGACGAAAAACCAATGTCTGTTGCTTAAACCGGGTTGGCGAATACGGAGGATCTATATGTGTATGTGTTGGAAAACCCTGGTTTCAAGTCAATAGTGCACATAGACCCCAGGGTATTGAGGGATCAAATGGTATATGAATCTATTTTTAGTCACCAAGTACCATGGGATCATGTCTCCTGACCTTGCTGTTCTTCCTTTTGGATTAGACCTCTAGCTCAAAAACCTGAAGAGTGTCCTTCTAAGACAACTCTTTGATTCTGTCTGGGCACTTGGGAAGTATCACAGTTTACGAAACTGTTGGGGACGTTAGATCCCCGAAACTCATATTTTGTAATTTTATCTTTATGGAGCTTGTATGCACATAATCGATTGACGAACTTATCGATTAAATGTTTGAATATTTCAATGACATTCGATCAACGAACTTATCGATTAAATGTTTAAAAACTTCCATGGCAACATCGATTATATATATTTTGTATAAATACGTTTGATTTGTATGCTTGATGAACCTGGTATCTTCTGGTTGTCTGTAGAATACACTTTCTACATCTTACCAAGACTTCTGAATCGAGTTAGCTGAATCGGGGACAACGGACCAGTATAGCCTATCGAGTCTCTGAATCCTTGATTCTTCGTCGCGTTCCGAGTAAGACGAATCAGTAGTAGAATTCAAGTCTAACGAACATAACAGAAACGTTTGATGGTGACTACAGACGAAGAAAATACTCTCGTTCCTATTCCCATTCAAGACTAGTGAAAAACTAAATTGGCTCTCCATCTGTTGCTTCAATAGCTTGTTTCGTGTGTGGTTATCCAGGGACTATGTGACGTCTTCGTCCGGTTTTTATAGCGCACTATGCGCCAGAATATAAGCAGGACTAATCTATGGGGTCCCAATCAACGGTCGATTATTTACTATTAAGTAAGAAGGCCTCATCAAATTGAGAAGAAATCGGTGTGGGAAACGATGACTTTTCATGATCTCCGCATATGCCCCAACAGATTGCCTGGATTCTATCAAGGTTGAGTCCTACCGCCAGTTAAGTGGTCTCCGGAAAGTGCGTTCAACAGATATTGTGGTACTAGCCGGAGATTCGAATACTCAGGTCGGGCATCTAGAGACTGGGGGGATTCGTATAAGTAGCCAATGGGTACTCGTCGGTTGCAGGTCAGATAACGGTGAGTGTCTACTTTAACTTTGCACAGACTACAGACTGTTTCTGATTAGGACTAACTGCCGGTACTACCTGGTGTCCTCCCTTTGCATTTCAAGGCTGAACTCAGATTGACCACATCGCGTTCAGCTGGCGTGGTTGTATACAAGACTGATCATACCCTTGTTTGCGCAAGAAGCAGCCTAGATTTCGATCTGCTCGAAGAGGTATTTATCATATCTTCACCCCCCGTTAAATGTTAGAACGCCGCCAAACTTATTTCGGGTCAACAATCATTGTGTTCTCGACATCAGGGCAGCCCTCGATCCATTGAACTAAACTGTTCTCTAAGACTGTCTGTTGAAGAAGAATGTACCTGAGAAGAGTATTAGCGTCTTTAAGGTCCTATATGCAAACTCTTCAAAGGGAATGAAAGCATACAACCACCTCTCCATTGTGTATTCAAGTAGTAGGGTTAGACAGGGTTACCGAATTTCATCATTCCTTTCCAATTTCCCATGGATGACGTTTAAGATGCACCCGTGATGGATAAAGATAATTGTGATGTGGTTGTTATCTGGAGAAAGACTTTTCTAACTTGAGTATGTGGATGATATTGTCTTGCTTTACGATGATACCCAGTTCATGCAATCCGCACATAATCAGTGTCCGTATGTATGGCGTGTACCTTCTATCTTGTAAGTGCATAGTACTTGTACAGGACTTGGGGAATCCTTAACTTGAGTTCACTCTTGGTAGTGAACAGATAGAAGTAGTGGAGAAGTTCATGTATCTGGGTAGCTGCATAAATGCTGCTAGTGGCATGAATGATGAAATCAGTTCACATATAGGGAAGACCAGAGCAGTTTATGCCAATTTGGGCCATTTATGGTGTTAGTGTGACTGTAAAGGGTTGGATCTGTAATGCGTCGATAAGAGCAGTTATATGGTATGGTTATGAAACCTGATCTTGAAGTTGAGGATGTTAAACGACTCTCTGTGTTTGATCGTCGTTGTCTTTGGAAGTTTGCTGACATCCAGTGACACACCATGTTAGTAGCGCAGAGGTTCATCAACGTGTATTTGGGCACAGCGATGATAACTCATTTGATGTGACCATTTCGAATCACTGACTTCGGTGAATTGTACATGTGCTACGAATTTTGTCTCAGCAAATTCCACATCGTGTATTATTTGCTGACGCAAGGACTGATTGGAAAATGCGAAGGTGTTGTTGGTTTTTGACGTAGTACTGGAGTATGAAAGAAAGCTGTACAGGACCGGCGTCCGTTGTTTCTTCACGATTCCGTTCAAAGTCCTTGAGGCGATACGACACGGTGTTCAGAGTAGAATCCAGTAGCGATCATTCTGTAGCTCTTACTTTCTTCATATAAGTAAGCGGAACTCCCTAATTGAATCCTCTATGTGGTTGTATTTTGCTCAACTGAACTGCTTCTATTATTATTATTATTATTATTATTATTATTATTATTACTATTTCATACTCATGCATTAATTTCTATTCACTGTTGTTCTTTTTTATTATACTCATCGTTTCTCTATCTCTTCACAATCTGATATTTATTGTGTGCCACACGTATAATTTTGGTCCCTCTATGTATTAGTGTTTATGTGTTTAAATAAATAAAATAGATGTAATATACTATTACCTAGGTGCCAATTCGAAAATAGGTGATTGTGTAGATAGATTATGACATAGTTCATATTTCAAATTTCCACTTCATGAGATAACCTTGGCTATGTATGAAGTTTCGACACGTGACTAATCCGCTCATGTCGGTAAGAACTTACTGAACTCTAGCGATATAGTCAACTCATTCGTTGACCAGACACTTGGGTAAGAGCAATATTTAAGATGTTTTGAATAGTGATAATGCCCGGTTGCTCAAACCGAAGCAGGTAGGTGGGTTTCCAAATGTGGGACTTAGTGGTGGAAAGTTGAACGTCCTTACTAATAAACCACTACTCAACAGAACGAAATACAATTGTAATCAGAGTTTACATCTATGGGAATTCCATTCATAATTTGCGTTACTTCATATAACGTGTCGTAATATTCCACAACAAACTTTTCCCATCAGTTAAATAGTTTATGTATGAGTAGTAAATACCTTTAGTAGCTATTATTTTAAGGATCCTATTTGTAATACAACATCATCATTCGATTTGTGTGAGGGCTGGGATAGCTCCTGATTGCCCAAACCGAAGCAGGTGGTTTTTTTGGGGGTCCACACTCCGAACCTTGGAGCTGAAGGTTTCATTCACAAGGCAGTGGAGCAACATCAGTAGACGCAGTACCATGTTAGCCGGTGACCAAAAATAGTTTCAAATTCCATTTGTTTCTTCAGGATCCTGGAGCCTATGTACACCATTGTTTCGGAATCAGGGTTTTCCAACTCCCCTAGGTGAACCCTCCATGTCCACTAACCCGATTAAAGCGCCGAACTTCTGGAGTCCCCCTGACTCTCCTCTTAGCTCAATCCGTTTCTTCACTACGTAGCTTTTCACCTAAATCTTAATATTTTCTCTATAGCTGGTTACTAATATACTTCTCACCTGCTGTTATATGTAAGGTTGTAGCCATTTTTAAGATCACGATAAATCCAAATCAAGCAATGAATTCCTGAAGTTTTGAAAATCACTGAACATCTTATCATTTGAAAAATATGTATATCCGATACTGACTCACGTCTACTTTCACGTTTTCTCATTTTACCTTCGTAGCCCTTTTTCAACAGTCCCATAGAAAATAGTCAGTTTGACTGGGCTAATTTCGTTTGGTCAGACTGCCTAAAAGATATTAATATAAATGATTCGTCCGTTATGCCAGATTTATTTTCCTGCGGAAAGTCCAAATCTGAAAAAACATCAGCATCATCGGTCAGTGCCTGGAATAGTAAAGTTATGTCTCACTTGGTAAATTCCAATAATGTAGGCTTGGCTGTATTTTGTTGTCTTTTACATACTCCGATTCCTGACTCATTTGCTCTGATTGAAAATGAACATGAACATGACTTCACATCATCAGCTCAACTGTTAGTCTTTTTGCAACGATTAGTCAATGAAAATGTCCCGTCACTACCTGGGATAATATTAAATGGATATACGGATTTACAAAAACAGCTTCAGGTTTTATCACCTGAATTGCTAGCGTAAGTTAGTTTTGTGGGTGTAATCTTACTCACATATTTCCTGTAGAAGTTCACATATAATTGATAAGGTTTTTATGACTAATTCAGTGAATCCTGTATTCGTGTTTCAAGTTGAGCGTTTTCGCTCATGAAAATCTAAGTACTTTTGTGTGACGAGTTTGGAAGAAAATGTAACATGTATTGTAGACTTCCGTAATCACTTAGTACAAAGTTCCGTACCATATTCCTGCCGTAAGACGAAATTAGAGTTGAAACAATAGTAGTATCAAAGATAATAATCGAAATCAAATATTGGAGAACACTGTTCGGAAAGAAGGAATGGATACGAGGAATAAAATGCACGAAATGACATCGGAGCTCAAGATTTATGAAGTGATAAGAGTGAACTCATTCGCACCACAGTGATGGATGTTGAGCGATGTCAACCAGTCTCCAATCACTCATCCCAGTTATTGCGGGAACCCTGTTTTGATTGTCTACACCTTTCAACATGGATCAATATAACAGTCAATAACTCCATGGACTGTCACTATGTTTTGGCTTATTCTCTCCTAGTGTTTTTCCGACCTATTCCTACTCGAGCTAATAAAGCATGCCGAAGTGGACAGTGATTGGACGTGCGTGACATATTCCAGACACCCTGACCGAAGAAGATTCATAATCTTACCAACCGATTTGGTATTCTTGCATCACTTGATCATTTGACGATGTATGAGTAGTTCTTCGAACACACTTATGATTGAAAACATGCAGCCGGCTAACCATTCATCCTGTTTTAATCGTCAGAAATGTTGGTGTCATGACTTGTTCACAAATTCTGTGTGTGAATTCCTATGAAAGGTTGGTGCATGATAATGAGTACAGTATTTTCAGTGCTACAATCTAATATTATTCGCGCATCCTTTCATTCTCATGTGCATCACATTGAGTTCAACAACCCGTAAATCAAATAACCCCTCATAAGAGATTTAATTTGTATCAATATGCTACCCACTTTCCATATTTCGGAAACACCACAACTAAAAATTATATAGTGTTGTATTTGTATGTACTCAAGTTTCGTTTTCAAGACTACTACTGCAAAAAGATTACATAGCCTAGGACCGTCCGTCGTGACCAAAAACAAACGAGTTTTTTTGTAAGGTTGCTGAATATCGATATGAGCGATTTAAAAACATGTAGTGTTACAAAGACCATGTTTTAAACACAGTGGTGCTCATCAAAGATAGATAGTATTCAGAATCATTTTCAGTTCTAGCTATTTGTCAGATGTTCATCTTAGTACTTAAGAAATTAATTGTTAATAATGCACATGCAGTTTCTTCACGAGCAGATGATGTTTATAGTTGTCCCACTCTGACATAACTTTTATACCGGCTTCTAAATCGGTTACACCACCGTAAGCATTTTTATCGTAAGCGTAAACACATAACGTAATCTTGTTATTTTTCAGTCAGTCAGTCAGCTACAACGTAGAACCAGGCACATATGTGCATCGGTCCAAGTTGCCATAACTCATTAGCACAGCAAGATGAACACCGGATTCATAGGAGTGGTTAGGTCAAAGGTAGTAATATATAGGAAAAAGATTGCTATAAGGATATAGTATAGGAAGAAAGAATTAGTTAGTAGAAAGAAAGATATGAAGTGATTTAAATCTCTTAGTTTAAGGGAAGACAGGGAGTGTATACACCGACGCCATTGTGATCGATTCTGAGCCACGTCACTCAGAGTCTCCAACCATCGGTTACGATAATCACGCGGACCCCAACCAAGTAGTCTGCATCTACCAACATGGCTCAGACTAGAAGTTAGTGTCTTCAAGCACTGATGTCACGTTTTGATTTGACCGCCCCTTACTTTCTTCCAACAATCCCCTACACCGGTTAGCATTGCACGTCGTGGTAATCGGTGTTCAGGCATACGTAATACGTGGCAGAACCATCTCAGTCGATGACGATTCACAACCTCATCAACTGATTTACCATCATTCCTTAATACCCTGTGTCTAACCTCACTATTACTTACCCGTGATCCCAGCAGACACCAGCAATATTTCTAAGGCATCTGTGGTCAAATACTAGTAGCTTACGAGTGTCTTCTACTCTTAATGGCCATGTTTCGCTGCCGTAAAGTAAGACAGAACGGAGTGCCGCGCAGTATACTCGTTCTTTTATTGATAAACGGATATCTCGCCTTCGCCAAAGATGGCGTAAGTTGGCAAAAGCCAAGCGAGCTTTTCGAATCCTTGCTGACATTTCATCAGACACCAACCCATTAGGGCTGATGAGACTTCCAAGATAAGTGAAGTTGTCAACGCGTTCGACTACTTCACTCCCTATCCTTAATTCAGGTGTTGATGCAGACCAGTCCTGAAGCAACAACTTGCATTTAGAGGGAGAGAAGCGCATTCCAAACATTTTGGCATTGTTGCTTAGTGCTACCAAAAGACTCTGGATTTCGTCAGCGTCTTCACCAAACAGGACTATGTCATCTGTGTATTCTAATTCGATAAGTGGACCTCCTGGTAGGAGATCAATACGCGAGAATTCAGTAGACGAGAATGTTATTTCCATCAGTAGGTCTATGATGAAGTTAAACAGAATTGGAGAAAGTGGACAGCCTTGACGGACACCACTTGAGGTTGATGACAGTTCGCCATAAGCGCTGACTCAACTAGTACTGTTCGAGTAAAGAGCCTTCACAAGGTTTATGTACTTCTGAGGTACGCCTTTCAATGACAGACACTGCCACAGAATCTCGCGGTCTACCGAGTCAAATGCTGCTTTTAAGTCAAGAAAGACCATCATTGTCGGACGCCGATAAGTATGCCTATGTTCTAGAACCTGACGAATGGTGAATATGTGATCGATGCAGCCACGACCAGGTCTGAAGCCAGCTTGATTCTCTCGTGTTTGCAGTTCACGAGTCTTAGGTGTCTGATAATTATAGAGGCTAGTATTTTAGATACTATATTTGTTAAACTAATCCCTCTGTGGTTGTCACAGGATGATTTTGATCCTTTCTTATATATTGGGACGATAAGTGATTGCGACTAGTCAGATGGGATAACGTCTAATTCCCAGATCTTAGCTAAAATATTAGTCAACCTAACCGCCAAAATTGGACCACCATCCTTAAAGACTTCTGGAGCCAATCCATCTGTACCAGCTGCTCTTCCTTGTTTCAGATTAACTATAGCCTTTTGAACTTCTGCTAGAGTTGGGGGACCTACTTCAATGTTCCATTTACATTTTCTGGGAATGGAGGTTAGTTGTAGAGTAGCTGAAGATCAGTTGAACTGTTCTCTGAAATGTTCCGCCCATCGTTCTAAACATCTGGACTGGGAGCAGATGAGAGTATCGTCTTTTTCCGAAATAATCTCACTTACACTTGACTTAATAATTCCAGTTTCTTGTATTAGTCTGTAAAGCTGTCTTGTGTTCTCTATAGTCGCCGCCTTTTCCATCTCTTTTGCTTTCGTTACCCACCACTGCTCACGGTCGTACCTTAGACTTTTTCTTAACCTAGATCTGATTTTTTACGTTCTTCATCATGTTCAGAACCTGATGGGATGAGTTTTCGAGAATCCATCAGTGTGATAGACCTTGAAGAAATCCACTGGTTCTTTGTAACTCTGTGGGTTAAGTCACTAATAGATGTCACTGCTGTTTCCACAACTGATTGTATGCCTTTCCAAGCAACCTCTGGGTCAGCCTCGTTTTCAAAACTACCTAATTGTGACCTCAGTTGTTCCTGGAACCTACTTTTGGTTTTCTCGCTACTCAATTCAGTTCTAATAGGTTTTTTTACTGTGGCTGTTTTGCGTCCAGTGAGGCGCAAGCAGATGCGTGCCCGTATTAGAGCATGGTCGGAGTCCAAGCAGGTACACCAGAATGAGCGACAATCTTCTATCGACCCTCTCCAACTATGACTGATGGCAATATGGTCTATTTGAGTCCACCGTTGGTTTGGTGCAAGGGGTGGCCATGTTAGACGATGTCTCTTTTTATGCTTAAAATTTGTGTTTGCTAAAAATAAACGATTGTCTGAGCATAGTTGCAGTTAGTCTGTTTAATGTTATAGCCACGCAAAAATAGATTTATATAACAAGATATGTTTCCAGGTTTGTATAAATGTTTTAGCTCAATATGGTTTCAAGTTAATTGTTATTAAACTGGCTATTTGAAATTGTCAAGTCAAGCCGTTTTAATGACACCTACAAATTTAAAGTTATTGTTGGTCGCTAATTATCTCACTAGGTATGTATGACTTATTCCTACTCTTTCAGCTTATGTGAAAAGTTAAACATAGCTATTTCAAATCGTATCATCAAGTTAACTTTGAATGTTGGTCAGGATGCTTTCAACATCTGGTCGCTCGTGTTTATGGCGTTACAGAAATCAATGAAACAGTAAGGATTATTTCCAATTCTCTTGGTTTTCAATTAGTCCGAAAAATGGTTTTCTGGTGTTAATCCTGTTTTACCTTCCTTAGTTTAAATAACCTTGTAATGTCGCCAACCATTGGCTACTAAGCATATTCAGATACCACGTACTTGTACTCAGTTACTGAATTCTATTAGTTATTAGTGAGTAATTTGTTAATGATTGTCTTCACAGTCCAAGATCATAGAAAAATTTATCTAAGTTCAAATAGTACTTTTCTGGAACTCATTAGTTATTCATCCGTGACTCCTGAAATTAGATTTAGTACAATCGGTCACCACTTCAAGTAAATAAACCTTATCTCGTTCAGCCTAAATTGTATAGTTATCATATATAGCGTCTTATGATCTGAAAAATCTCACTGTCATCATGGAGTATTTCTTCCATCCTTATTATTTTTGTGTTACATAGTGTTGAAGAATGCGACGTACTTTTTAACTTATAGTAGTATTCATTAAATGTTTGTACTGAAGTGTATTTATCATAACATTTTACGAATTTAGTAGTTGACTATAACACCATTTGTTACGAATAATTTTCTCGGTTTTGCGATGTACCAGTATACACTTCTTCATTACAAGTCAACTGTGTTCGAGTAGCTTAACCATGACTATATCTATTGTCCGCACTCTCAATTTATGTAAATTAATATTTCTGAACAACTGGCATGTTTATTATTTGACAAATAAGGGTAATTTGTTTCCTTCAATTTAATTCAGTTTTATTTTAAACGAAGGAATTCACACCTTACAAATTTTCACTTTCCCCTAGGTTAGAAAACTGGATGACAAATAAAGCTTATGGAAGACAATCTTTTGAAAATGATTCCAAAAATATATCAGTGCCTTTACAAGTTCATCCATCATGTGGTATACTTATTTCACGTGCTTGGTATGCTTTAGTAAATTACTGTCCTTCCATTATTGCAGCCTCAATTGCTGCCACCGGACAAATTGAATCAATTCATCCCGTACATTTTGACATCGAAAATTCCGATCGTTTGGTACATTCTATGGACAGTACTTTACCCATGTATGAGAGCTAAAATTTTGATATGTTTAAAGACATTTTTGAAAAAACTGGTCGAATACAGTCTCTGAGAAATCGACTTTATAAACATTTTTTGCTAATGTGATTTAACATCATGCATGGCACCAGATAGTTCACATTAATTCGTTTAAATTGCAAGTTTTTACTTCTTTTAATTCGTCAAATTTAGAATTTTTTTAATTTTGGTTACTAGTCCACAGATTTGTGAGTAATTCTAATGAATCTGGCAATGCCAAGTTATTTGAATTGCAACTATGATACTAATCATGAACCAGGTTTTTTTTGTGCAAGTACATCATGTAGATATCCGATAATCGAACTTAATACACATCTTCTTATAAATTTCCAACTCATCGTGATAAGTATTGTCATACGACGCCGTCATTAGCGAATATACCTTTTCTTAATATTATCTGTTTTATGTCCTCCAATAGGTAGTTGAATCTGTCTTGTTTTTAGAGATCGGTACGGATACATATGGGAGTTAGAATGTTGCCAAAACTTGCGTCTTCTAAATAATCCAACTCAATTTTGACACGCTGATTTTTTTTTAATGTCTATCATCCTCGCATAATTTCTTTAGAAGTTATCTAACTTATCCATCGAAGTTCACTACTTTTTTGTTTGATATCTCCATGTGTATATTTACTTATTTCTTAACAATATGGGTTTTCTGTCTTACCAATTATATAAAATGTTTATTTATTGATGACTATCAACATACTTAATTTGCTGTTCTCCTTCGCATCGTTCTGTGAACCTTCAGAGATTGATTTACTGTTCAAGACTGTGAAGGTTGTTTTTAACAATAGCATTCCTCCATCTTCCCTAGTCTATACTGTTTTGAGAAACACAATAAAACTATTTAAATCCATTATTAGTTTAAAGAGGAAGAATATATTTGTAAAGTCTCAACGGAAAAATTTGAAGTAAATCCAAGGATATACTTCCTTGAAAAAAAAACTTGCCAGGCGAAACGTTGGATTCACTTCAAATTCTTTCGCTGAGATTTTACAAATACATTTTTCCTCTTAAATGTCTCACATCAACTCGGCGCCTAAATACTGTAAAACTATTCGGTCAAATTTAGACGAAAGTTCTTATTTATTATTCCCATTGTTAGTTTGTTAAAAAGTTAGATAATTTTCTTCTTGATTGTTTTCTAACACGTTAAAAATGATCATTAGTAGATATACAGTAATTCATTGTCAAGTTTTCTCACCTTTCTTAATAGATTATTTATTAGTTAATATGAGGTTTTATTCTGTACTTTGAAAACAAGATTTACCTAAATTGCAGTTGGTGAAATAATGTGTGGTATGAGCTTGATTATACTCCACGTATTTAGAATGTATATAAAAATGTTGTATGTTGTACTTTTTAGTGTACAAATAGATTATCAAAAGAAATCATATAAAGTATTCAGATGTTCACTAGGCACTGGCCCTATGTTGTCAATGTAATTTTTTTAAATTATTTATATCTAGTTAATATAACAGTTATGGTTTCTTCAGCATTTGCCCTTCCACTTTTTGTACGCTTAGGGAAAGTCTAGTGTGGAAAAATATTTCATTGCTGCGTTGTAAATGGGAATCATTGAGTCATTCGTTATTTGAAGTCATTAACCAGATCACATTTGATTCGTTGGTAAAAGGCGCAGTCGGGCATACAATTCTTGACGAATTTCGTGATAGTTTATGTTCAACTTTTTTGATCAATTCCAAACAAACAGATGATGAATTTAAAAGTGATACGAAATCGGACTTAGTTTTTAATAAAAATAAAGTTGAAAGTCTTTTAATGAAATACGCTAACACAGATGCCATACTGAGCGGTATAATAGTAAGTAAAGAAATCACTACTTTGTATGTTGTATGTTCATTATTACCTCTGTATAATAAATAATAATGGATAAACAAACACTGATCAGTTGAACTCTTAAATATAGACAGTTAGAAAATACAGAACCTTACTAATATAAAGATTTATAGTTATCATTTACCATTACTTTCGTAACTTACACTAGCCTACACTTTGTTGCCTGTTTCACAGAAACATTCGTCATATAATTTAAGTACCATAGCTTTATAAGGTTTTTGATACGTCAAGTTACAATCATCACAATTATAGTGACGGGGATTTATGAGTCAAAAACAATGTCCGTAGTGTTCTGTTCTCTAAAATACCAGTTAATATAGCACAACTATTGTTATATTTTATTAATTGAAATAATCAGGCTACATTTTTGAAAAAACTGTGGATTTGGATTCAGTTCTAAGTAAAGTGTCTTTTCATAATCAGATTAAAAATTGATGCCAGTTCTTCGACTCATTGACTGTTAATATCAACCATGAAGAAGACTGTTGGCTTTTGTGACTAAATTTTATTGTTTGTTGCAATACGTTTATCGCCACTTTGTACAATGGACAATAATAGAGCTTGTAGGAAACAATTACCTACAGACGCAATTCTTAGCTAATCCTCAGGCTGTCTAACAGAGTCTTAGCTTGGTCAAAGTCAGGACAAGTAAACTACTTGTCTTGATAAACCTTGCCCGTTTATAAAACGTAAATTAACACTGTTAGTTTACAAAAGAACAATTTATGGAGTATTAAACAGGGAAAGAGAGCGATAGAGATAACATATCAAACAGTAACTGAGGCATCGGCACAATTAGTCAACAAAACTCACTACTGTTTATAACAAACATAAAATATCGTGATTCGTGAATAAATTAGTCATATTTAAACACGGTCCAAAAGATTCAAGGTGATGGTGTGCGTTTAGTACTGTCCTTGGTGGGTCCCTTTATCGATCACGCCTTAAAGGGCTTATACATTAATTTTTCTTCATTCCCGAATTACACATCTTATTTTTAAATTTGTATTTTCGTCAGGCACATACATATGAACTTCACCAAATTATTACACCATCCACTCTGGATTAACCCCCCTCTTTTGACCTCTGACCTGTTTCTAGCATATATATATAGTTATTATTGTAATCCAGTTATTTACACTCATTTATGTCAATTGTTTTCACACTATCTCTATGTAACACAAATTCTATCACAATTTTGGTTTGTAAGCAGCTGACGAGAAACCTCGAAATAATATGAATTCATACTATTCTGCATCAATGTTTGTTCTTGCTCTATTTACATACTGTACTTTTGTTCCTTTTTTGATTTCCTATCACTGTATTATGCTGTTCGGGACATGTTAGTTTTTGTCTTTCACTCATCATCCGTTAACCACAAATGTTCTGAGGAACAAACAATACTTTGTGAGTTGCATAATTTAAACTTGAAACTTAAACCATAAGTGTCTTAGATTGACTGCTGGATAATGTTCTAATGAGTCCAATACCTATTTCATATATATTTATCATTTAAGAAATCATTTCATTTTTAGCCTTTTGAAGAAGTCCAACTTGAATTACATTCTTCCGAACTCACGGGTTTTGATGGTAATTCGTCTGCTGTTGTGCGCATACCTTCACAACTTTCTCTACCAACTCATCATTTACTTTTAAATATTGTTTATACAATGGGAAAATTTCTTGTACATAAATCACTTCCGTAAGTGTTTTTTGTCTGATCAGTTGTAATTCGTTTATCAGTTAATTTTTATGTTTACTTGTATGTTCTAAATTCTTATGTTGAATTGTGTAAATTTTTTTTATCTTCATCTATATATTCCATTTCGTTTATTAATTTAAATGAAAGCTAGAGTGAATACAAAAAATTTAAACTGTCATTCATAAATGTAGTATTCGATAGTTGATTGATTAGAAAGGCATTTGTATGCTGTTGTAAAAGCTCACTGGAAACTTGTAAAGTCTAATTTTTGAATTAAGTACTTGTTAACCTCTTCATAATTTTAATTAATTCTTTAAAGACAATTAGTTTTTTACTAAAAATATCAATATGCTGTAACTAAATTTGATATAGCCTACTCTTTATGTAGTTTTTGTTGTGTATAGCTGCCTTTTAGTGATTTAGAAGCTCAGCCTATGATTGGGGAAATACTTTGACACTTATAAGCTAAAATTATATGTAAACTAAACACAGTAATTGTATACAAAAACCTAGTACATAGGAATTATAATTAGTTACTGAAATGCATTAATTGTTTAATTCTTTACTTCGTATACTGCCCCCAAATGCCCTGGTACGGCCGAGAGTGGGGGGAGTCCTCTCTCCCTCTCGTAATGCTCTCACATGTCCTACTCACTACCTTCTCGTGTAAGGGGTGTTGTTTACGAAATCGAGAGAACGAAAGGCGAATGTCTGGCGCTTTTACCGGGTTGGTGAACATGGAGAGTCCACCTGGGGGAGTTGGAAAACCCTGATTCCAAACCAATGGTGTACATAGGCTCCAGTATCCTGAAGGAACAAATGGGATATGAACCAATCGTTGGTTACCGGCTACCATGGTACTGCATCTCCTGATGTTCATCTACTGTCTTGAGGATCAGACCTTCGGGTCGAAGGCTCCGAGTGTGGCCTCCTAAGGAAACCTCCTGCTTTGGTTTGGGCACCTGGGCAGTATCACAGCCCTCACACATATCAAATGAGATTTGTGTGGCGCATATGTATTTGGTGCCTTCTTGTACCAATATCTATGTGTTATAATAAAATAGAATATACTAGTACAGCATGTATATTATTAAGTCCGTGAATATCACTCAGGGTAGGATTGCAAACCAGTTGGTACAATATAGTAACTGTAAATAGAATAATGTGAAGAAATGTCATTGAAATAGATCACTGTTAGACCACCATTTGAAAACCTGGATCGGTTTATGATTTCAGTGAAATTCAATAACATATATATCAAAAGTAATTTTTCTCGTTACTAAATGTCGAAATAGGGATTTTCACTATAATGTAAATAAAATGATAGACATACCTTTTTTTAACTTACAAGCGTATTTCATTGTAGTAAGAAATCAACCTTGGAACCTGTTGTTGAAAAACATCTTGGATTCGTTGAGTTTGTCAGTATCTTGAAGGAAGGCTGTCTTAAACTTTGTAATGCCATTTCTCTAGTTGTCCAGTGCTTCTTTAGTTTCAGTTCAATCCTGGACACAACCAAGTGTTTGTGGCTATCTTGGATCCAATGTGTTTCACTTATTCTGAGCACCATTAAGTTGTATCTCCTCATTTCCGCAGTTATTTGATTAGTCCTCCCACATAGCTTGAACATTCCATGTACCTATGTTAATTGTTGCTGTGGTTGTTAGAATGATCATCGGTCTCGTGACTTCCGAAGAATATCGACTTTCACCGTGAGGCGTCATAATTCTTCTGAAAGAATGTCCTTTAATTCCCGGGACAGAGTTTGGATAGATTAATTTGTTTATTGTGGTTAGCGTTTTTTAGCAATGTCGTTTTCTAGGGGATGAGGTTGCTGACCCCGCACCCAATCCTCCGCCTTTACCCGAGCTCGGGACCATCAGTAACCCTATAAAAGGTACAGGCAGAGTTTCGCAGAATTTACGCATCATTAATTCGTGTCTAAGTCTCATGGATATCAACATGTAAATGTCTCCCAGAAAAAAAAACTAGTGCCACTGCAGGCTGATAAGCTAGGTGCGTTGACTCAGATTTATAATCGTAAAACTTCCTGTTGGTAATTGATCTTCATAACATCGAGATAGCTGTATTAATCTTGCCTTAACAAAATGCTTACTGTTTTACTTTGCTATAACTGTGACGGCAGATTAGAGGAGAGCGAATTATCGATCGGACCAAAGACGCGCAAATACGTAGAACGGCCTAGGATTCTGATTGGTCCCGTTTCCCTGTCTAGCCCAACCAGTTGAGTCCAGAACATAAGTCCCAACCTCGGATATATGAATCATTATATTTCAAACACACTCTGTTTGTATACTAATCAAGCAGACCACATCATACCATAAAATAGAAAATAACATTGTACAATATTGACCAGTAGGGAATTGACACGTGAAATAAGTACTGACCAATTAGAAAATAATACCATCTCCAAGTCCAAGAATAGCATTAGACTTAATAGGATAATTTTTGGGATATTTTCCTGAATATCCCAACATACTTAACGACCAGTAATTAATTACAAAACTACGATTGACAATGTATATCATGTGAGAAATTGCAGATCAGTGTTCAGATTGCAAACTTTACACTTATACCTAATAATCTGCATTCCACTCTTTTATCACTTTACAGATCACCATTTAGTCATCTATTTTTATCTAAAGTATGCAGCTCATTATTTGAAATATACTCCAGTATTGTTGACGAATTGCTGTCACATCAAGATATATCAATTCAATGCACAGACGAAGCATCAATATGGTTTTCGGATTCTTTGCAAAAGTCGATGCAATCACGTGCTTTACAAATCATGTTCGATTTAAAATTCCTCCAACGTTTATTAGTTTCGTCTTTATCTGTTAGTGAAGCTAGTCTTGCTCAGGCAAGTTGAATGAATGTTCGTATGAAGGTGGTATGAATGTTTTCAATTAATTTTTAATTTATCGTCAATAGTATTCTGCACGATTGATTGTTATGCGTCAGAGGTGGTAAAACTAAGGCATGAAGACCGCAAATCTTTTTTGAAGTCATTTGAAATTATGCGTAGAAATGGTCAAAAGTGAAATCGTATTAAAGAAACATGGTATTTATACTAAAGTTTCAGGAAATAGTGTTTAAGTATAGTCAGTTCCTAACATTAAACACACAAGTGGTTTCATTGGAAACTGATCAGGAATATAATCGCCAGATTTCAGCGCTCAATTATAAATTTCCACGATGTTTTAAGGATTTCAAAACACGTGAATCACAGTGTAATTTACTGGATTTTTCATTTGCTGCTGATATTAATGGAGTTAATTGTGATCTTCAGTTTGAGTTAATAGAGCTACAGGGTGATAGGGGCCTGAATGGACGTTACGAATGTGCAAAATTGACTAAATTATATACGTAAAGTTAACAGAGGTTAAATTTTACAACCTGAAAATTTTTTCACGTGAAATGTTCTCTCTTTAGGTTGATTTATATTTGTGAGCCGGCGTTTTTATGTATAAATTTAAATAAGTCAATATTTTAGAACTGGGAAGGATAGCTCAGGACAGAGTTGGATGGAGCTATCGTATCACATTGCGGTCAAACACACAAATCAAGTTCAGTTTCCTTTACTTGGCTTTGAGCCATGCTTAATGTTTAGAGACTAGGGATACTATCTGGGTGTTCAGATCGAAGTGGCTGAAGCACAACATGATCTTGTGGCTTAGTGACTGTCACCGCTCCACATCATTGTTTAGCACGCGATTCGGGAGTTCGAATAATCTTTTCATTTTTTTCTCTTCAATCTACATGTACACTCATGTATACCCTCTTTGTTTCCAATAATCAGTTTTAATCAGTCAATCAGATTACCTTTGTACGAATATTACCAGTATTTTCTGATATCAATTCCTAACTTTAACAAAAACATAACGGTTAGATGGTGATCACTAGAGTTTCCATAAGTTGGAGTTTTCAAAATCGCTTTAATTATGGCATTTTTTAGACAAGTAGAAATACTCACACACATTTCAATACTTCAAAGTATAAAATTTTATTTTGTCTTTTCATTTTTTTCATCCAGTATTTGTTTTATTCCTTTTAAAGAAAAATCAAATGGATCTCTCGTCAAAACGTGTTCAATCAATGATTCAAGAACTCACCTCTCGTTTAGAAGCACTTGTTGATCCTTTCGATTGGAATGTATGTGCTTCGAAATTAAGTCGTAATGTTGCGAATACAATTACATCTACATATCATATGTACGCACCTATTCTTGGTTCGAGTTCGTTTGCACAAGTTGAAACTTTGAGAGGCATTAAAGCAATCTCAAAAGAGGAGACAAATGACAATAAATCAACCTGTTCCTTTTTACCATGTATTTCTGGCACAAAAAATAAGACAAAGTTGAACTTAAATCCTTTACCATTTAATTCATCTATATATGTCAATAAATGGTCGGTTTTACGAAATGGAAATCCATACTCCAAGCAAATATGAGTGTAAGATTTCATCGCGATATGTCATTATGATAGTACATTATGATACATTCATATTCTTAGCGTATAATGCCAGCTTACAAGAAACTGATACTCATCATATTTTTATGACCGACTGACAGAAAAACATAGACTCGGAATTTTTGTCTGAATAGGCTGGGAATAACTTCAATGCCGATTGATTGGGATGTGGATCTTTCTGAAGGCATGTATTCCATCAGTTCCTCTTACATCTTTTCCTCATGAGTGCAAACAAATATAAAATAATGACTATTTAGAACTCTAAATGGACATTTCCACAACAATACTGGATCATTTAACTGCGTGACTACACTGAATTTTGCTCTGATCACGATCTAATACTTGGAACCCTGGTAAACATTTTTTTAACTACTCCAGAAGGTGACGATTCACTACTTCATCAACCGTTTTGCCATCGTGACTTAGTATCCTATGCCAAACCTCAGATTTAGCCACTGGTTATCCCCAAAACATAGGAGCGATACTTTGAAGACATTAATGTTCGAATAATAGTAACCTACGGATATCATGTACTGTTGATTGCCGTAGTTCACCCATAGAGTAGAACAGAGCGAACTGGTGCTTAGTAAAACTGTTCTTTGATTAGAATATGAACATCTTGACTACGTCACAGGTGACATAACTCACCAGAAAATCAAGCTTACTGAATCCGTTCTGAGGTTTTGTCAAATACCGACCCACTAGGGTTGATGAAATTTCCAAAATAAGTGGGGTGATTTATCGGTATTGTGAAATTATCGTAGTGTACATATTTTTCTGTTTCTTCTATTTATATACACATACGAAACGTAAGTAGCTCAGGTTAAACTATAAACCTGGAAGCACTGGACGGCCGTTTCGTCCTAGTATGGGACTCCTCAGCAGTGCGCATCCACGATCCCGCACCACGCGGGGCTCGAACCCAGGACCTACTGGCTTCGCGCGCGAGCACTTAACCATTAGACCACTGAGCCGGCATCCAACGGTGTTAATGTCTAACTTCAACCAATCCACGAAGTCGCGCCACCGTACACCATTGTCTTCAGTGAGCTGATATCTCACAACAGACCTGGTTGAACTCCACTGGTAACGGCTTCCCACTAGAACTCCAGGAGTATCTCTTGAAGTCAGTCACTAGTGAGCAGATGATTATTATCAGAAGGGGTTTGTGGAGATTTTAGAAATTTTCACAGATTTAAATCATGAGTCAGTTGAAGCTAGACCACCATTGAAAACCTGGAAGCACTGGACGGCCGTTTCGTCCTAGTATGGGACTCCTCAGCAGTGCGCATCCACGAAGCCAGTAGGTCCTGGGTTCGAGCCCCGCGTGGTGCGGGATCGTGGATGCGCACTGCTGAGGAGTCCCATACTAGGACGAAACGGCCGTCCAGTGCTTCCAGGTTTTCAATGGTGGTCTAGCTTCAACTGACTCATGATTTAAGTCTGTGAAAATTTCTAAAATCTCCACAAACCCCTTCTGATAAACTATAAACATCAGATAATCATTCACTTGATATTGTTTTATTTGAATCTTCCCATTGATGTTTTAGGACTGAAGTTGATCAGTCTCTTATTGACATATGTGCATACTGTGCGTATGCCTCGATATTGCCTTAATTTACAAGCATTATAAGCAGAGATGGATAGTGGCTAGCAGTGGAATCCAGGACGCGCGTTTCGTCCTGTTTGGGACTCGTCAATGGGAAGATTCAAATAAAACAATATCAAGTGAATTAAACTTCACCCCATTGCACAAGCAAGTGGCTATCAGGACTCAGTAGCTAAGTGGATAACGCGATGGCGTTTGAAGCGAACGGTACTGAGTTCGAGTCCCAGAGTGAACATCAACTCTGAGATGCAGGTACATCCAGCTGACGAGTCCCAAACAGGACGAAACGCGCGTCCTGGATTCCACCGCTAGCCACTATCCATCTCTGCTTATAATGCTTGTAAATTAAGGCAATATCGAGGCATACGCACAGTATGCACATATGCCAATAAGAGACTGATCAACTTCAGTCCTAAAACATCAATGGGAAGATTCAAATAAAACAATATCAAGTGAATTAAACTTCACCCGATTGCACAAGCAAGTGGCTATCAGGACTCAGTAGCTAAGTGGATAACGCGATGGCGTTTGAAGCGAACGGTACTGAGTTCGAGTCCCAGAGTGAACATCAACTCTGAGATGCAGGTACATCCAGCTGACGAGTCCCAAACAGGACGAAACGCGCGTCCTGGATTCCACTGCTAGCCACTATCCATCTCTGCTTATAATGCTTGTAAATTAAGGCAATATCGAGGCATACGCACAGTATGCACATATGTCAATAAGAGACTGATCAACTTCAGTCCTAAAACATCAATGGGAAGATTCAAATAAAACAATATCAAGTGAATTAAACTTCACCCCATTGCACAAGCAAGTGGCTATCAGGACTCAGTAGCTAAGTGGATAACGCGATGGCGTTTGAAGCGAACGGTACTGAGTTCGAGTCCCAGAGTGAACATCAACTCTGAGATGCAGGTACATCCAGCTGACGAGTCCCAAACAGGACGAAACGCGCGTCCTGGATTCCACTGCTAGCCACTATCCATCTCTGCTTATAATGCTTGTAAATTAAGGCAATATCGAGGCATACGCACAGTATGCACATATGTCAATAAGAGACTGATCAACTTCAGTCCTAAAACATCAATGGGAAGATTCAAATAAAACAATATCAAGTGAATTAAACTTCACCCCATTGCACAAGCAAGTGGCTATCAGGACTCAGTAGCTAAGTGGATAACGCGATGGCGTTTGAAGCGAACGGTACTGAGTTCGAGTCCCAGAGTGAACATCAACTCTGAGATGCAGGTACATCCAGCTGACGAGTCCCAAACAGGACGAAACGCGCGTCCTGGATTCCACTGCTAGCCACTATCCATCTCTGCTTATAATGCTTGTAAATTAAGGCAATATCGAGGCATACGCACAGTATGCACATATGTCAATAAGAGACTGATCAACTTCAGTCCTAAAACATCAATGGGAAGATTCAAATAAAACAATATCAAGTGAATTAAACTTCACCCCATTGCACAAGCAAGTGGCTATCAGGACTCAGTAGCTAAGTGGATAACGCGATGGCGTTTGAAGCGAACGGTACTGAGTTCGAGTCCCAGAGTGAACATCAACTCTGAGATGCAGGTACATCCAGCTGACGAGTCCCAAACAGGACGAAACGCGCGTCCTGGATTCCACTGCTAGCCACTATCCATCTCTGCTTATAATGCTTGTAAATTAAGGCAATATCGAGGCATACGCACAGTATGCACATATGTCAATAAGAGACTGATCAACTTCAGTCCTAAAACATCAATGGGAAGATTCAAATAAAACAATATCAAGTGAATTAAACTTCACCCCATTGCACAAGCAAGTGGCTATCAGGACTCAGTAGCTAAGTGGATAACGCGATGGCGTTTGAAGCGAACGGTACTGAGTTCGAGTCCCAGAGTGAACATCAACTCTGAGATGCAGGTACATCCAGCTGACGAGTCCCAAACAGGACGAAACGCGCGTCCTGGATTCCACTGCTAGCCACTATCCATCTGTGCTTATCAGATAATCATAATCAATTTCACTTTTCAGCTAACAACAAGGAGAAATTAGGATTTTAAATCTTGTTTTAATTGTTCACGAGGAACACTAGAGAGAAGAATCTGTAGAAAATATGTTGATCTATAATCAGCACCAAAGCTTGACTGACTTCTTTAACTTTGCTTGAAAACTTGCTTTTGTTGTAGTATCCGTCAGGCGTCCGAAATACTGGAATTTCGAATGCTTATCTCAACATAGTGCACGCAGTGTCGAGTCACCTAGACTGGTGGATACATTGCAACTTGGTCGATAGCATTCGATCTGCACTAACAAGGACTTTACTCACATGACATTGATCACCACCCAGTGATCAATCATTTGTGATAGCTTAGTTTCATTTGATCTAATAGAGGATATTATTCTTCATCCAGTTGTCTCTGTGTTCCTATCAACATATTTCTTGTAGAATTTTATATACATAAAGTTATTTAATTGGTATTTCTTTATATCGTGAAGATATTTAATTGTGTATTATATGTTTTAATTTTTATTGATTTTTTTTACTAGCTCATTTACATACTTTCCTTTGCTGTGATTTATCTAAGTTCGTCCTTAAACATGGGATCGTAGTGAATAGTACTTTTTTTTATCTTGATGGACATTTTTGCAATACATTCTATTTGTACTAAACTTGGCTTTTTATGAAATAAATTCCTATTTTGTCACTATCGGTTTTTTATATCGCTATATTATCCTTGTTGCCGACAGTCCTCTAGCTATGTGAAAAGTCATTTACTTGAATAACAAACTGAAGTCCAGATCTTCGTGGTGACTTTTCGAATTGCTTTTGTTCTTTAGTGAGTTGTAGAATTCCACCTGCATAAAGACGTTATAACAGTTAAGTTGATCATTATGCGATTTATACTTTTTACGTGAACAGCATATTTAAATTGCATCCGATAGTATCACTGTGCAGTTGCAAATTACCTACTTATGTATATATAGTTTTGAGATATTTTTAAATACACACTAGTAAAAAGTTAGGCGGCACCATATTCCCACATAAATGCATACACAAAGACACGTGGATTCCACCGGATCACATTACACAGAGCCAAAACAACTATCTGCACCAATAAAAAGTTCAGGAGGACTAAGGAGGATGTTAACACTAAGAGAGGAGTTGGTATAACTTCAGATCATCACTTGCTGGTCAGTCAAATACAACGTAGGACCAGGCACATATGTGCATCATTCCAAGTTGCCGTAACTCATTAGCACAGCAACACGAACACCGAATTCATAGAAGCAGTCAACTCAATAGTTGTAATATATAAAAGAATGATTCTCTGTAAGGATGCAGTACAGAAAAAAAGTTAGTTCGTAGAAAAAAAATATGAAGCGATTTCAATCCCACGGTTTAAAGGGGGACAAAGAGGGTATACACCTACGCCATTGTAATCCGTTCTGAGCCATGCCACCTAGAGTCTCCAACCATTCATTGCCATATTCGCGCGAACTTCAAGTAGCTTGTATCTACCAACATGGCTCAGATGAAAAGTCATTGACTTCATGAACTGATAACGCGTTTCGGTTTAGTCTTCAGTAACTTGGAGATAGCGGACAGCCTTGCCGGACACCACTTGAGGTTGTAAAATCAGATGGCAGTTCTCCATAAGCTCTCACTGAACTTGTAGTGTTCAAATAAAGAGCCCTGACGAAGTTTAAGTACTTTTGAGGTACACCCTTCAATGACAGACACTGTCACAGCACCTCTCGGTTTACAGAGTCAAATGCCGCTTCTAAGCCAAGGAAGACCATCATTGTGGAACGCCGATAAGTATTCCTGTGTTCTAGAGTCTGGCGAATGTTGAATATGTGGTCGATGCAGCCACGACCAGGTGTGAAACCGGCCTGATTTTCTCGTGATTGCAGCTGACGAGTTTTAGTTAGGCGTCCGGTAATTATGGAAGCTAGTATTTTGGATGCTATATTAGTCAAATTAATCCCTCTATGGTTGGTTATCACAGGATGGTTTTTACCCGTTCTTATACATTGGGACAATCAGTGCTTGCAACCAGTCAGGATTGTCTCACTCTTGACTTCTTAATCCCGATTTCTTTTATTAGTCTGTAGAGCTGTCTAATGTTACCTACAACCGCCGCCTTTTCCATCTCTTTTAATTTCGTTGACCACCACTGCTCACGGCCGTTTCTTAGACTTTTGCTTAACCTAGATCTGATTTGCTTAGGCTCTACATCGTGTTCAGAACCTGATGGGATGAGTTTGCGAGAATCTATCAGTGCAATAGACCCTTGTAACCCTTTGGTTTAAATCACTAATAGATGTCACTGCTGTTTCCACAGCCAATTGTATGCCTTCACAAGCAACATCTGGATCAACCTCGTCTTCAGAACTACCTAAGTGTGACCCCAGTTGTTCCTGGAACCTACTTTTGGTTTTCTCGCTACTCAATTCAGTTCTAATAGGTCTTTTTACTGTGGCTGTTTTGCGTCCAGTGAGGCGCAAGCAGATGCGTGCCCGTATTAGAGCATGGTCGGAGTCCAAGCAGGTACACCAGAATGAGCGACAATCTTCTATCGACCCTCTCCAACTATGACTGATGGCAATATGGTCTATTTGAGTCCATCGTTGGTTTGGTGCAAGGGGTCGCCACGTTAGACGATGTCTCTCCTTATGCCTAAAATTTGTGTTTGCTAAGAATAAACGATTGTCTGAGCACAGCTGCAGCAGACGATCACCATTATCTGTTCGTTCTGCCGGAATACTAAAATACCCACCTAAATTTCGTTCTGTTTGGTTTAAACTACCTATGTGCATTAAAGTCACCTGCTACGAGTACTATGTCTGAGCGTTTAGCTTTATGAAAAAGTTCAGATAGCTTTTTGTAAAATTCATCTTTCACTTCATTCGAGCTGCAGTCAATAGGAGCGTAGGCAGAAGCGACGAAAAGGCAACGACGTGTGTCCATATCCTTCTGAGTTCTTACGGAGCCGTTTAGCTGAACAGCACATAAACGACTGTTAACGGGGATCCACTCTAGCAGTGCTTGTTCGGCCCTCATGCTTAGTGCTATGCCCACACCTACCAGTCCACAAGAATCCGCCATGGAGTCGTCAGATACACGGATAGTGTGTCTCGTCGGCTCTCCGTTTTGGCGAGGTGAGGTCAAGTGAGTGACCACACTAGGATCCTGTATGCGTGTTTCGGAGACACAACATACATAAATGGTGCGAGATTCTAGGGTTTTAGTCAAGGAGGCCTGCTGACCGATTTGACGTAGGGTGGGTACGTTGAAGGCTCCAATGCGTAGTTTGTAGCGAGGTTTCAGTAGACCTAAGACAGTGTTTCGCGCACTAGAATCGTTGGCTATGGTGACACTTGAGGAGGAAGCCAAAAGAGTAAGTTTAGAGTTCAAAGTCGATGTAGGAGGAATAATAGTAATTGAAGAGGGAGGTTGATTATGAATACAGTGGTCTTGAGTGCTGCTAGAGGTATGAGGGCGGTTATCACTTTTCGGTTGCCCACACCGTGGAAGGGTTGTTCTGGAGGTACCTGAAAAGGAAATTGGATTAAAGGTGGTCTTAGTGACCTCAGAGCGTGACCACAGTGCCCAAGATCCAACTGCTCGAGGTCGGTCACACATGACCTTTTTATGGGTAATTTTCGTAATAGCTACTCACTTGTTTGGATCTTACCACCGGAGACGGATTTCCGTGAGATAAGACGAGATATGCATTTTTAGGGTCGACCTTTTCTAACCTCACCCCTCCTTGTGGGAAGGCAGCACCGCTGTTGGGCTGCTTGTCTAAGGGAAACACCTTACTGCTGTCACACCTCTGTACATCAGAAGTACGAATTCGCCCTCGGACCTTGGGTCTGTCGCTTTTATTCTTACCGCTCTTCAACCGGCCTGCTTCCCAATCAATGTTGGCCAAAATACAATTGAAGATATCAGCATGGTCATCAATTTCGAGACAAACAGGCTGAGTTCCGTAAGGATCGATCGTGTACAGACCAGATTGAAACACTACGGATCATTGTGGAACAATCAACTGAATGGAATTCATCACTCTACATCGACTTCATTGACTACAAGAAAAAGTTTGGTAGCGTGGACAGGTCAACAGAATGGAGACTTCCTCGATACTGTGGAATTCCTATGACGGATTTAACTGCAAAATCGTGCATGGTGGACATCTCACAGACTCGTTCACCTAAAGGCTGGTATCAGGTAAGGTTGCTTTCTTTAACCGTTTCTCTTAGTGATCGCCTGGATCATGAAGACGTCAACATCTGGGGGGAAGCAGTGGATAGCTAGGATGCAGCTGGATGATCTAGACTTCGCAGATGATCTAGCCCTTCTATCCCAAACGCAACAACAAATGCTGGAGAAGACGACCAGTGTAGCAGCAGCCTCAGCAGCAGTAGGTCTCAATATACACAAAGGGAAAAGCAGTATTCTCCGATACAACACAGCACGCACCAATCGAATCACAATCTACGGAGAAGATTTGGAAGATGTAGAAACCTTTACATATTTGGGTAGCATCATTGATGAACACGGTGGATCTGATGCAGATGTGAAGGCGCGGATCGGTAAAGCAAGAGCAGCATATTTTGCAGAATGGGTTGATGAATGCTGATCGGTGTCCTATGCTCCATTGGAAGTAACAGGCGTAAGTAAGTAAAAAGTAATTCTGATGTTTAAGTTTTTTAAGTCAATTAATTTGATTGACTAAAGAAAATCTTTTACGGTGCAAATTAGCTTCAATCCAAACAATTTACCATGTATGCCTAACTTATTCATCCGTTAGTATGTTTAGCAATTTAAACTTTTATAGAAAAGAGTATAAATTCTGTTTTAATATTTTGTTTATTACGATGAATAAATAAATAAATATCATCCTGATAAATTCTATTTTCAAAAGTAATCGTGAAGCTGTTCCATAGACGCCATCGGTTAAATTGTATCATTTAGGCTACCCCGTTGTTTTTTCAACCAGAGTTTCTTTTGACAGTATAGTTCCACCTTGAAGAAGAATTGTAATTTAAATATCTACATTTAATTTATAAGTTATCTAACACATTTACTATAAATATAAGCATTCGCCGATGTAAATTTCAGTTTTGAATTAACAAACTTACTATATACATGTACGAGTAAGTTGACGATTATTTTTACTTCGAAATAATACAAATAAGTATATTACATCTTTATTTATTTGTTCTTACTCACCTATGCTAATGGTACAGTTCAATATGTAACAATATAAGGCTAGTGTTTCTTACTTGATCTCTTTTCTCTGAAAAAATGAGTGTAAATTGTTTTTTACTACCTGTTGTTAGTCATCAATAATTGGTAAATGCACAATCTGTTTATTTTTCCAGTTCCTAGTGTTAATAAATTTAAATCCTCTATAAATCTATGTTAATGTTTGTCGCTTTTAGTCATTGTAATATTTCCTAATCCTTGAAAATGAAAGTTTAATGTCCATGCTAAAAGATTTCTTAAACCATGTTTACACTTTATATAAATATATCAACAAATAAACAACAAAACTGCTTCAAAGCAATAATAAAATAGTAATGTATAACTCTGGATATTCAGTATAATTATTTGCCATGTAATACATAGCATTTTATACTTAAAGAATGTGACTTACTTCTGCTATCTTTAGTTTTCGAGTGTATATATTTTG